ACAGGGCGGACAGCGACAACTATCGCTCGCCGACATCCGGCGACGTGCACGGATCTGGCTAGGGGACCAGAGAGAGAGAGGTGGGGCAGTGGCCAGGGCCAGGGGCAGGGGCAGGGGCAGGGGCAGATAGACGGCAAAACGTTTGCCCACATGCCGCTTGTCGTTTTCCATTAGTGTGCCGACCAACCTCAATGATTTCTTACTTACAGCGCGCAATTTGTAAGTGTGTGTATCCATGTGAGAGCGCCACACACACACACACACACTCTTCCAGCTGAGGCATAATCGCATTCGTATTGGTTTTCGAGTGCTGAAGCATCCAAGTTGGCCAATGCGTTTCGAGAGGGGTCGCCGACTTAATCTGTGTGTGTATCTGTGTATCTGAGTATCTGAGTGTGCCTGTGCTTGTGGTCGGGCAAAAAGTTCAGGAAATTGCTTTTGCATGAGCGCTTTGGCGGAGGGACCGGAGCGCCGGACGATGACGCAGCTCGTAAAAAGGAAGCTGCGGCGATTGCAAAAGAATTGAGAATCGTGAATCGAGAAAGGTCGCAATCGCAATCGCAATCGCGATGAGCGGTGGGGGGTGGGGGGGGGGGCAAGTAATTAAGGGGCCAGCAGTGGCTGCAGCAGGAGATAATTATGTCCGGGAATGTTTTCAGTAATTCGAATGTATTGCAATTGAATTATTACACACAGACCTGGGGAACATCCTGCTAGCAGTGCCAATGCCCTAACAAAGGGTAAACCCCCCCCAGAAACGTCAAAGGAGTGGATCTCCTGCCCTCCTATCTACGGTTAGCCATTAGAGAGTATCTGGCAGTCGGAATATCGCCCTTCGCCATAGTTTTTGCTTTGTTTTTTGGATCGCATGCTGGCCGGCCATTCAGTCAATGGTCAATATGCTCGATTCATACACTTTGACCTCGTTCAGCCACGTTCGAAATGATTTCGTGTCTGCCACGCCTTCCGCCTCTCTCACCGACCTACGACCTACGACCTACGAGCTCCGCCACCTGGCTCTGCCCCTGCCCCCTACCCCCTACCCAGCACTATCGGTGTAATGTTTTGTTGTCACTGAATGTTTGTAGTTTTTCGATTCGAATGAAAAATGTTGCCTACTTTTTGCTGGCAGCAACAAACAAGAAAAGGACAATAAAAAAGGAATTTGTTGGCACTGCGAAAAGAAAACGAACTGTGTGCCCCAAGGCAGGAAGCGGGCATACATACATACATATATCAAATGGGTAAACATTTTATTTTAGTCGTAATTGAATTGAAATCGACCTGCGGTCCTTCGGCAGGACCAATGCAATGCAATATTTCAGGGAACTTAAAATGTGTGTGCCACAAGGCATCCTTAAACGTGGTGCAAATGAGAAGACAGGAAAGGGGGAAAAGAGGTGCCAGCAATTGTTGCAGCAAAGCCCGAAAGCGCCAAGGCTTTCACACATGTAGAAGCGTACGTGCCCGTATGTATGCCTGATGACCCCATAATCTGGGGCTATTAAATCAATTTCGGTTGCTGCTCTTTTGAACTACTTTCACTTACTATATTGCACTCGTAGCACGAGTATGTATGCCAGGCCGAGTCATCAACTGACTGGCAAGGCTCACTGGCTGACAGGCCACACGAGGATTGGGGGCCATGTCTCCGACTGCCGCTGACGCTGAAGCATGCAATATTTAAAGAGCAAACAAGCGAGTCGCGGGTCACAGGGCAAATCAATGTCTCTCGGTGTTTCGGTGTTTGTTTTTTGCCTCCGCTCCGCTCGGGTCCATTCCGAGTGTCTAATAACTCACCAAATCGTTATGAAGTTCAAATATGCGTGGCAAACGGATGGCAAATATTGACAGTACAAAACAAATTACCTGATTACATTCGGGTCAAGCCATTTTTGGCACCAAAGCGACACTCAATTTTCATGTGGCTCTTGTTTGTTTATGTGTGTGTGTGTGTGTGTGTCCCCTTTGACTGAAACAGGAGTATCCCGATGTCCCCGTATACTCACGGGTCACACAGACAGAAATTAATTAAAAGTTGGTGTGTTGCTTGCTTGCCTGCTGCAACCCAGTGTCTAGTTTGTTTATTTGTATTTGCAGACATGTGTTTGTGTGTGCACGTTGCAGGTAGTACGGGGGCATGTTGTGCCCGAGCAAACATATGCAACAGCCAAAAAGAAGGACATTTTGGCAGCTATAGAAGGCCATAGTGCAGATCAAGCATTTCAAATATTTCGCACACCTTTCATCGAAATTCCTACAGTACAGAGCTCCTCCTCCCACAACCGGGTATCTCATCTTCCGGACAGATGGTCAGATGGTTGTTTTTTTTTCGGACTACGCGAATGTTTTTCTATTTTTATTTTTTTTGTGTTTTTATTTTTGTGTATTTTCACGACCTTGTGGGGCACACAGTCCGTCGCAATGTTTACAAAATAATAATAGCGTTTGCGACCCTGGTCTGTGTGTGTGTGTGTGTGTGTGTGTGTGTGGACCCGCACATACATGTGCGTGAGTGTGAGTGTAGTTGAGGGTCGTCCTCCGCTTCTGCCGCTGTCCGGGGAATTCTTTTTATTATAATTTCATTTGCCGTGCCCGACCCAGTGAAAGCAGTAAAAGTAACTCATCAAAATGCATTCTCTTGGCTTGGCAACGGCGCAGAGCCAAAGAATAATATTACAAGAATTAATTTAATGCTTGGCTGCATAATTATCCCAACCGAACAGAACCGCTGTGTAATATTTTCATTGTTTTGGAGGCATTTCCCCAAAAAACACGTTCATAAATTAATCTAATTTTCGAATGGAAGCAAACGGTTTGAAATGGAAGGAGAACTCAATGGCTAAATGCTTATTAAGTTGGCCATTAGACACAATTAGACACAAACAGGATTCATCGGAATTCATTGAAATCAAATTTAATTTATTTTCTATTGAGCCTTCTCTGCTCTGCTGTGCTCTGCTCTGCTCGAATAATGATAATTATTTTGATAGCTTCGCATTTCATAGGTTTCATAGTCAATTATTTCTGGGATAATGGATGCTGCACACTTGAAGTTGTAGTTAACTCCATTAATTTGCAACATTTCGGAGGCAGATTGACTGATTGAATCGTATCGCACTGCCATATATGTGATGCCCATGTACTCGAGCAAGGACTGTGCGCTCATGTGCGACAGCGAGAGGGTGAGGGGGAGGGTGAGGGTGTCAGGATGTATCAGGTGTGATACCAGTGAACAGCCCGAAAATGTGTGTAAGCGACTGCAAGCCGCCAGCGCAACGTGGCATTAATTTCCGTTAATTAAAATAAATACGTCAAGCGATAATAAATAGCACGGCACTGGCATTAAATGGAGGCCCAGCGAGCCGGCAGCCCCAACCGACTCAAAAGACACACGGCCGCCTCCAATTAGATGTCTGCTGTACCCCAACATATGTACAGCTCTGAAGTAGTTGTCTCCTCTGCAATTAATGGGAGAATTGATTTGCCTGGAGGGCACATAAATTTCTGACACACCAACAGATTGGCGATTCTCGGGATGCTGGCCCTGGTCCTGGCCCTGGTCCACTCGTGCGTTATTGCAGAGCATAAATTCTATTCAAATTCTATAACATGTCAGCACATAAGCCGGCACTGTCAAGCGTGCGATGTACAGTCTCACCTTGACAGGGATGAGCTGTGGGTTGTGTGGGCTGTGGAGGAGGCAAAGGCGAGAGTTTTGTGCAAATAACTGAAGCAAAACACAAATGTCTTTCGGGCAGGGATGGAGAGCCGCCCTTCCGGGGCAAACGTACTCGAGTGGCAAACAAAAGATTATCCTTGCCCTTACTTCACGCTCAGCTATGCAGACCTGCCTTGGACATGGACATACTCGGCAGCAGCACAACAGGAGGAGCAGCAGGAGCAGCAGGACCAGCAGGACCAGCTGCTGCTCGGCAGGCGTCATTGTGGATGGTATAGAGGCGCGTGTGGGTGGTTGTGGATGGCCCTGCTATTGAAACGTTGCAGTAATGAAAAAAAATGTCAACTTACACATACGTATGTACATATAAGGAGCAAGAGCCAGAGCCAGAGCGGAAGGCGGTGATAAGTAAGAGCTGGAGGTGGAGCCACAGCCAGAGCCAGTGCCAGTGCCAGTGCCAGTGCCAGGGCAGACACTAGAGGTACGTATGTACAACAAAAGCGACAGCGACAGCGACAACGACAACAAAACATGTGTCAAACGCCAGACATTCTGAGCAATATTAATAACACTCGGATAATATATTTTTCATTAAAGCAGCAGCAAAGCAGCACAAAGATGTCACGATACTCGTGCACACAACGTGTGCCAGCTGTTGGGGCTCATGCTTAAAGACCGATAATGCAAAACTCCCACACATACAGGCCGGTAGAGGTACAGTCAGACCAGGGGGGGGGAATTTTATAAATTTAGTTATGACGGCGATTAGCGGCCATTTTGCATTCGCCCGAGGCCAGGGCCTGGTTAGCCTTGAAAAACTTTACCCAGATCCCTTTTATGATAGCCCCGAGTCTGTTCGCCTGGCTGCCATCCGGTCCTTGCTGACACACAAAGGACAAGCGACACACACTGCGTATGGGCAATGCTCTTAATTGCCTTTAAAGGGCCGTCTGCGATTTTTGCCAACTTTTGCCATCATTTATGCAAAGCGGAAAGCCAGCATGTGGAAATACCGATGCACGCTGATACGAATGCCGGCACCGGCGGCATTCATGCATCAGAGCCGAAACGAATGAGAGGCCGAGACTCTTGACTTTGTTAATTAAACATAACGGCGCACAGCGCACATCGCACAGAGCACAGCGCACAGCGCACAGCGCACAGGGAGCAATTCTCAAGTGAATAATTCAACAACAGCAAGTGCCCGAAACTTAACGAAAACTTTTCGAATTCATTGAAAACTTCATCCAGAAAAATGTCACAAATTTCGACTATATAAGCAGCCCGCCAGGGAGCCGCGGCACACACTGGCCCCAGGATGGTCTTCAAGCTAATACGACCAGCCCCGCTGACGGAGAAGGTGGGCTCTCGGGATGGCTGCATTTACCTGTTCAGGGCGATGAAGTTCATAGGCTGGGTGCCGCCCAAGTCTGGGGTGGTGCGCTACGTCTACCTCTTCTGGACCCTGATGACGTTCGTGTGGTCCACCACGTACCTGCCGCTGGGTTTCCTGGGCAGCTACATGACCCAGATCAAGTCGTTCTCGCCGGGCGAGTTCCTCACCTCGCTGCAGGTGTGCTTCAACGCGTATGGGTCCTCGGTGAAGACGGCCATCACCTACTCGCAGCTGTGGCGGCTCATCAAGGCCAAGGATCTGCTGGACAAGCTGGATCTGCGCTGCACCTCCGTCGAGGAGCGCGAGAAAATCCACCGCGTGGTGGCGCTCAGCAACCACGCCTTTCTCATCTTCACGTTCGTCTACTGCACCTACGCGGGGTCCACCTACCTCAGCTCGGTGCTGAGCGGGCGGCCACCCTGGCAGCTCTACAACCCCTACATCGACTGGCGCGACGGCCGGGGGAATCTGTGGCTGGCGTCCACCCTCGAGTACGTCGTGATGTCGGGGGCCGTGCTCCAGGATCAGCTCTCCGACACCTACCCACTGGTCTACACCCTCATCCTGCGCGTCCACCTGGACATGCTGCGAGAGCGCATCCAGCGGCTGCGCACCGACGAGGCGATGAGCGAGGCCGAGAACTACGAGGAGCTGGTCAACTGCATCTTGGATCACAAGATTATTATACTGTGGGCAGGCCTGTTTGTGTTTTTGCAGTGACTTCAGTGCCCTAACCTCTTGTCCGTCCACTTTTTCAGGTTCTGCGAGACGATCAAGCCCGTTATTTCGGGGACCATCTTCACCCAGTTCCTGCTGTGCGGCATTGTGCTGGGTCTGACGCTGATCAACGTGTTCTTCTTCTCGGACCTGTGGACCGGCATCGCCTCCTTCATGTTCGTCATCACCATTCTCCTGCAGACGTTCCCCTTCTGCTACACCTGCAATCTCATCATGGAGGACTGCGACGCCCTCACGCACGCCATCTTCCAGTCCAAGTGGGTGGACGCCTCTCGCCGCTACAAGATGACGCTCCTCTATTTCCTGCAGAACGTGCAGCGGCCCATCGTCTTCATTGCCGGCGGCATCTTTCAGATATCCATGAGCAGCAACATCAGCGTAAGTGCCAAGTGCCGATTGTCGGCATTGTGGGAGCACTCTGCTTCCCAGGCCCCGCCCGCAGGCTAACAATTAAATCTGCTACAAGTTGAACATACTTTGGCCTACTTTCAGGTGGCCAAGTTCGCCTTCTCCGTCATCACCATCACCAAGCAAATGAACATAGCCGATAAGTTTAAGGACGAATGAGGACTACTACTACTCTCTGGCTTCTCGCCGTTCCCATGATTCCCCCATTGATTTTCTATAACTAAGACGAGATACAAACTTTTAAATAACTCTGAAAATGGCCACCCTTCTCCGTTTCTCTTTTAGATCCAATCAGCTCTAAAATATAGCGAATTCAACGCGAGCGCCTCGATTTTAGAGTCCAGTGCATCGTTCTTTGTAGGAAAAAATTTAGATCTAGTGACAATTTCAATGAAAGCAACTCAGTAGACTATAATGTATATCGCACTGCAAGTAACTTGCTTTTAAACGGCTAATAAATGCTCGAATTTATATTAACCAAACGATTGTTAAAAGGATTTTATTCGGGTTTAGGTATATGTTGAAAGAGCGAAAAACGTGTGCCTTCGAAGAGAACTCTTTTGTTAATCGGCTTCCCCTTCGACCTTGGAGAGCTTCTCCGAAATATTCATTTGCTTGACCAGCGTAAAGACTGAGAACGAAAACTTGGTGACCTGCAAGGCAGAGCATTAGTTACCCACAATTTCCAGCACAATCGGGACTGATTTGATGCTCACACTGATGTTGCTGCCCACGGAGATGGGAAATACGTTCATGGCCATGAAGGTGATGGGCTGCTGGAGCTTCTGCAGGAAGTACATGAGCGTCTTCTTGTAGCGCTGCTCGCCATCGATCCAGTTCGACTCGAAAAGAGCGTCCGCCAGGTTGTAGCAGTCGTCTGTGAGGTAGTTGCAGAGAATGCAGAACGGGGTGGTCTCCAGCAGAACAGCGGCCATGAAGGACAGGGCGGCGATTGCCGATCCCAGATTAGCGAACAGCACAATGTTGATGAGTGTGAAGCCAAGGACCAGGCCCACAACGAGGAACTGCACAAAAATGGTGCCCGAAATCACGGGACGCAAACAATCCACGAAACTGCAAAGGATCCAGGACAAGATCGATTAAAGAACCATTCCACAATAAGTGGACGCTCAACCCACCGCAGTATGGTCTTGTGGTCCTGGATGCACTGAATTAGTTGCTCGTAGCGCTGCTCGGGGCTCTCCCCAGGGTCGCTGCCCAACTGTCTTAGGCGGTCCGCGAAAATGGACATGTGGGCACGGAGCACGAGGACAAAGTTGACGGGATAACAGTCCACACAGACGTCCTGAAAGCAGGCACCGGCCATGGCGAAATATTCCAGTCCCGACTGGAGACCCAGCTGCCACGAGCTGGAGCGCCAGTCCAGGTACGGATAGTAGTTCTGGTAGGGCGGCCTGCCCATCAGGATCGCAGTGAGGAACGTGTTGGTGGCATACACCATGTAGACGGTCATGAAGATAAAGAAGATGCGGTTGCTCCTGGAAACGGCCTGATGGACACGGAGGCGTTCGCTGGGTTGGGTGAGGCGCCTGTCCATTTCGTCCAAAATGTCGTTGGCATCGTCGAAGTGCTTGACGAGCGCCCAAACGATCAGGACCTTGGTGGAGCAGGACCAGGCGTTAAAGGCCACCTGAAGGGAGGTGAGGAACTCCCCCGGAGAGAACTCTGAGAGATGGCTGATGTACCCAGTCAGGAAGCCGATGGGCTGGTAGAACGTAGAGCAGAGATTTAGGGCAAAGGACCACAGGCAGTAGACAACGAAGAATCGAGCCGGTGGCCTTCGCACTCCCATTAGAAAGATGCAGCGCAGCAAGTACAGAGTCCCATTCCGAGAGCAGGCCGGGGCTTCCTTCGGCAGCGTGAACATGGCCGGGAAGACTTTACGCAGCACCATCCTGCCTCCAGTTGAGTGTCGATGCTTCAAACTGGATTGAAGCCTTTTATACGTCCGACCGTGGCGTGATTGAGTCGCAGGACATGGAAAATTCATGAGCGACACGTCTAAACTCGTCAACCGAAATCAATTATGGTTAGGGTAACAGTTGTTCAGCACCTCGGCGAGCACCCGCTGCACCGAACGGACGGCACCCTCAACGCCCAAAGGCTTCAGTGGAGCAGCGTCCTCGTCCAATCCGAATGCCCGACGGGTTACGGCGATGGCGGCGGCGCTTAGCACGTAACGCTCCGGAGAAGTGTAAAAGTTTACACTTGCATATAAATAAATGATGGCTCTCTGTTTCGTCGAAGAGCAGCAGGCTGCAGCGGTTCACAGAGCGAGGGGTAATAGTTCAAATTTCATTTGCAGAGAGCGCGTCAAAGTGCAGTCTTCAATTAGGATTACCCAAGCACCGTCATTGTACCACAACCGTTGTATTTAAATGACAATCACAGTCGGCTATGCCGACTATTCCCCCCTTTGATTTCGCCAGTTGCAAGAAGACCTCATCTCTAAGAGATCTACTTAGAATAATAGTACGTAACGTGGGCTGACATGTACAATTTCTATTGAGTAAGTACGTTTGTAATTTGACGAACAACACCCAGCAGATGGTTCTTCGAAAAAACCTTGCAGGTCTGTATATACTAAATTCCAGAGTTAATTACTTTAAGGCTTTTGGAAAATGGACTTTTTCTGAATTATCGTGTTTTTTTTTTATGGCCAGGTTTTGTTTCTTAATTTTCCTTTTTTTTTAGAGTAGCACATTTTTTTCAGATGGAAAATATGGAGTTTATTGTAACAAAGTTACTTTAATTACTTTAAGGCTTATGGCAAACGGCCTTTTTCTGAATTATCGTGTTTTTTTTTTATGGCCAGGTTTTGTTTCTTAATTTTCCTTTTTTTTTTAGAGTAGCACATTTTTTTCAGATGGAAAATATGGAGTTTATTGTAACAAAGTTGCTACCTTTTGTGGCAACTTAATCAGGTTTAATCAAAGAACAAAAAAATAAAAGAATTAGCAAAAAAAAAATATATATATATATAAAATTTTTTTAGTTAAAAAAATAACCTTGTCATAGATAAAAAACTATTATTCATTAAACATTGTAAGTGTAATTATATTTTATTCCATTTACGCAGTGGAGCCATAGTGGGCTAGAAAAAAGTACAGCTCGTAAAAGGTTTTTTTAGTTTTAGTAAATTTGTTCAGTGCATGGCCAGAGTGCTGCCCGAACCTTTGGGAATGAGTGTCCTCCCAAGCAGCATTGTCCACCCAAAGGTATCTAAAATTTCAATCATTTCTGTGTGCGGAAAACAGCGCTGTGCTTTCGTCTCTCTTTTCTCTGCTTTCGTTTGAAGCAGGAAACCTTTCTCCTCTGAAGAGGATAAAGTTACTTCAAAATCCTTCAATAGTACGTTCAGTGCTTGCTGTGTGCTCTGCGTTTGCTAGACAAATATTCGCTTTTAAATTTCACTTATTAATTGAAATCGGCTTCCCCTTCGACCTTGGCCAGCTTCTCCGCAATATTCATTTGCTTGACCAGCGTAAAGACTGAGAACGAAAACTTGGTGACCTACAAGGAAACCCCTTTGCTCGAGTACTCATAAATTCCCCGAAAATTCGTTTTGGATACTCACAACAATGTTGGTGCCCACGGAAATGGGAAAAGCGTTCATGGCCATGAACTTGATGGGCTGCTGGAGCTTCTGCAGGAAGTACATGAGCGTCTTCTTGTAGCGCTGCTCGCCATCGATCCAGTTCGACTCGAAAAGAGCGTCCGCCAGGTTGTAGCAGTCGTCTGTGAGGTAGTTGCAGAGAATGCAGAACGGAGTGGTCTCCAGCAGAACAGCGGTCATGAAGAACAGGGCAGCAATGGCCGATCCCAGATTGGCAAAAAGCACGATGTTGATGAGCGTCAAGCCAAGGACCAGGCCCACAACGAGGAACTGCACAAAAATGGTGCCCGAAATCACGGGACGCAAACAATCCACGAAACTGCAAAGGATCCACACCTTGGATTAAAGAACCATTCCACAATAAGCGACGCTCAACCCACCGCAGTATGGTCTTGTGGTCCTGGATGCACTGAATTAGTTGCTCGTAGCGCTGCTCGGGGCTCTCCTCAGGGTCGCTGCCCAACTGTCTTAGGCGGTCCGCGAAAATGGACATGTGGGCACGGAGCACGAGGACAAAGTTGACGGGATAACAGTCAGCACAGACGTCCTGCAGGCAAGCACCGGCCATGGCAAAGTACTCTAAGCCCGTCTGCAGACCCAGCTGCCACGAGCTGGAGCGCCAGTCGAGGTACGGATAGTAGTTTTGGTAGAGCGGTTTCCCCATCACGATGGCAGTGAGGCACGTGTTGGTGGCGTACGACATGTAGACGGTCATGAAGATGAAGAAGATTCGGTTGCTCTTGGAAACGGCCTGATGGACACGGAGGCGTTCGCTGGGCTGGGTGAGGCGCCTGTCCATTTCGTCCAAAATGTCGTTGGCATCGTCGAAGTGCTTGATGAGCGCCCAAACGATCAGGACCTTGGCGGAGCAGGTCCAGGCGTTAAAGGCCACCTGAAGGGAGGTGAGTAACTCCCCCGCTGAGAGTTCAGACAGATGGCTGATGTACCCAGTCAGAAAGGCGATGGGCTGGTAGAACGTCGAGCTGAGGTTCATGACGATAGACCACAGGCAGTAGGCCACGAAGAATCGAGCCGGTGGCTTTCGCACTCCCATCACAAAGATGCAGCGCATCAAGTACAGAGTCCCATTCCGAGAGCAGGCCGGGGCCTCCTCCGACAGCGTGTACATGGCCGGGAAGATTTTACGCAGCACCATCCTGACTCCTCAAGATTCTCGATTGTTGCACCTGGACTGAAGTCGCGCGGCTTTTATATGCCCGACCGTGCCGTGATTATAAGCTCATCAATCGCCCGCCATGGGAAATTCATGAGCGACACTTGCAAGCTCGTCAACCGAAATCAATTAGGGTTAGGGTAACAGTTCGACGAGGAGCTGCGGCACCGAACTCTCGGCCCCCTCAACGCCCAGGGCCTTCAGTGGAGCAGCGTCTTTGCCGTGTTCAAATGCCGGGCAGATAAGGTGATGGCGGTGGCACTTAGCACCTGGCTCTCCTTGGAAGTGTAAGAGTTTGCACATGCATATAGCTAAACGATGAACAGGCTGCAGTCTGCAGCAGTTCACAAGGCATGGCGTAATAGCTCCAAAGCCCATCAAAGTCCAGTCTACGGTTGGGAGTACCTTTGCACCTTCATCAAGCGGCTGTCAATTGGCACTCTACTTTGAGAGGGGGTTTATTGAATAATTCTCGAATTAAATACCTCGAAGCTTATGCAAGTAATTACAATCTGTAAGCCAAATTGATTATTTTATAGAAACTTCATAGTGCAGCTTATTTTATAGGTATTATATTGCCACAAAATGGTAAACATTCAATTAAGTTCACAGCTCTGTGTGAAATAAACAGTTCTATGCCTGAGAGCGACGCGCGACAAGCTCAATTTCAATTAATTTCCAACAGGCCGAGAGCCGTAAATCATTGGGCCATTGGGCCGATTGCCGGCCGAAACAGGTGTAGAGGCGTTGTCAGTTCCAAGTCAAGTCAACTCCGAATCCCGATTGGGACAAGCGCCCCAGCTGCAGTTTGCTCATTGAATTAGCAAAGGACGACAGTCTCTGACCCGCCACAAAGGGTAAATGGAACATTGACTGGGGAAACTTTTTAATTAAACGCTTTAGCTCAATTGGCAGCAGCTGAAATCGAAGGCTCCCTGGCCGGCTGACAGAGCTGAGAGTGTCTCGAGTTGGCTCTAAATTAGCCACATTAGCCAATGGTGCTCACATCAGGCGAGAATTTCGGCGAAAATTTTCGAGTAAATAAAGGCAAAATGGCGCTAACGACACTTCCGCTTGGGCCGTCGGCCAATGGGCGGCACTTCACAGCGGGTTGATTGTACTTGAACTTGTACGAGTATTTGCAGCAATTGTTTTTTCCTTTTTGCGAGACCCGTCGCTGTTCAGACAAGTGGCAACAGATTGGCGTTTCAGCTTCAAAGCATTTTCCAAACACGAGCGAATAGGCGTCGCTTTTCTTTAAATACCCCAAACAATTTTTTTTAGCAAAATGTATGGTTTTCGGCTCTCGAATGAGTGGCTGCCTGCAGCCAGAATCCTTCCGTTAAAGGCTCACTGAGCAAACAGTAAGAATAAATGACAGTACAGCATATATTGGCTGTCCATCAGCCAGTGCCTGAGCCTGAGCCTGAGCCTTTCCGTGCCCACAGTGCGTATGAGCAATCAGAGAAAGGTTGACTCAAGCCACCGCACAAATATTTAATTTCATCCAGCTGTTTTTATTGCGGCGCGGCTCGCAACAGGTGCGGCATTTGAGGTTCGTCAAAGGCAAACTCATTTGCACTTGAAACCGTGGCAACAAGTCAGGACTGGTCGGGAGTCGGTACAAGGGGAGGGGGCAGGGGGCAGGGGGCAGGCAGCCGAATGAGGTGACAGCTAGCCAAATGTTGATATTAGCCACCCAAAACCAACCCAAACTCAGGTGGCTGCCTGGCCAACTTCAAAACGAGCTCGCTCCACTTCAAAGCAAATAAACAGAATCAAATTTTCCCGACGATGGTGAGATTGTGCCGTGGGTGTCGCATATCGCACGACTGTGTGCTGCAGATCAATGTGGTGCTGCTGCTGGCCGGGCTCATCTTTCTGATGGATGTGTTCAACCACATGTACGTGAAGTACACACTGCTCCGGGAGGCCACCGTCTTCCCGGGCGTCCTAATGGCCTGGATGTTCATGATGCGCTTCCTCACCACGGCGGGGTACATCCTGAACGCCATCGTGGGCATCCGCATGGCCCGGTGCCCGGGCCTGATCAAATTTGCTGGCTACATGTTTTTTAGCTTACTGCTGCTGCTGTACACCCTGAGCATAGCGGCGACGCGGTTTGTGTATCGATCACGCTTCGAGCTCTCCGCCACGAGGATGGCGCTGCTGCTGTGGAGGAACGACAAGATTGGGCGGCTGGAGGAGGAGCTAGGCTGCTGCGGCCGAATGGGCCTAATTGACTACCAAATCTCAGCCGAGGAACGCCACTGGGCCAGTGGCGCCTGCTGTGGGGAACCGGGCTGCGGCGGCTGCTCCGCGAAAGTGATCAAGTACCTCTGGGGCATCGAGGTGGAGGTGGCCCGCGACAACTTCATCCTGTTCATATTGCTCTTGGTGGGGGCGGTAGTCACGATGTGTCACTACAAAGATGTGCAGTTAAACACGTTTGGAGATCCCAACGACTGCGGCCACGAGTCAGAAGAGGAGAATCAGCAGGAGGAGGAGGATGAGGATTCACCCTGGAAGAGCACGAGAAGCGACACTGAGACCGAGGCGAGCACTCTCCAATGAATCTTGCTTTGGGCTGAACAGCCAGCCGAACAGAACCATCCAGCCGTATTAGCGATTAAGGGCTAAATTAACGACCTCTGCCACGGCTCTGGTCAATTGAACTTTAATTTAACATTACTGCCACACCTCCAGCCAGCCAGCCAGCCAGCCAGTCAGCCAGTCAGCCCTGTGTTTGTCTGCTAGCTTGTTGCGGCTCATTAATTAGGAGGCCTGGCAGCCTGGGATAATGCCAGCACTTAATTAGCCTTCAAAACGATTGCCCTGAAATACATTTTAATGGCTTTGGTTCGAGCGTTGAGCGGAACAATCGAATATGATTTTATGGATTTATCTCGATTTATATGCCCCAATCGGGATTTACTTTCGTTTGGGGCCACCACTGCGAATGATTAATGCGTATCGAATAACCCAAAAGTATTTGATACTTTTATGGACACATCGGGGCCTAACCCCATGCCCCCGAAATGGCAGTAGGGGGCGGGAGGAAACAATTTAAATAAAATAAAATTTTCATGGACTCGACTGCATTTCTGAGAATTCTTTAAGGCGAAACAGTTTTCGCCATTTGTTTTGTCAGAGAAAGATGCCACGAAGGAGGGCCAGAATCCAGAAGCGGTGGATGGTGCACGGCGGTGCATCCGTTGCGGTTTGTCTAGAGGAAGCGCCGCCGAAAAATAAACAGCCAGAAAGGATGCGAAATGTAACGGAAGTGCGCGAAATTTTTGCACATTTCACCGAGCGTCTCCCTTGCGACCCGCAGCAGCAGCGTCTGTGTGGATGGTTGGGCGTGTGGGCGGGTGGGTGGTTGGTTGTGCGGGTGGTCCACTGAATAGTTGGGTGGATTGACAGTTCGGTACTAAGATGCTTTGGCGGGTGAAATGCCAACTTTATGACATTTTAATGATGTCGACTTTTATGACAGTTGGCTGCAAATTTTTGTAATGGTTTGACAGTTGGCCTTTTTGCAGCAGAAAATGGTGGAACTCAGAGGCGGCGGTGAACCGGTGCTGGTGGATAAAAGTGCAGCCGCAAATTGAAAACGACCCAAATCGAATTTCACCATTTTCGCCTGACAAATGCAGCAGAATCAGAAGCCAAGTTGAGATGCAAACTCCATTGCCAAAACCACTGCAATGGAAATTAATTTTGCCATGTCTGCCACACAGTTGCACAGTCGCACAGTCGCACCGAGCGGCTGGCCGAGCTGGTGGATGGGGCCAGGGGTCAGACGGGGAGAGTACCAGCAAAATATTGTGACATAAATCAATCACTCTTACCGCAGGCAACGGCCAGACCTGACATTTATTAAAATCCCCATGTACGGGCATCCAATCCGTGCGCCAATCCGAATAAGTCGTACTCGTGTTTTATGACTGCCTTCTGATGTGGCTGGTCTCTGATTTGATTTCATATGTATGTATGTGGCATCATACGTCTGGGAAAAGGCAGGTAATTTGAACATTCTGAAATATAATCAAAGTCCTGCATTCAAAGCCGTTGTACTCCGCTCTCTCAGCAAGCATAAACGACTACTGAATACCCGCAAATTTAATATACCAATATGTGATTGCACTTAGGAGCTGTACACCTTCCATGCAGGCTCCCAGATCCACACGGCTGCACCAAGTCCTTTATATTTTGTGCAGTATACCCCGGCACTCTTCAGATGCCGCGTGCAAGAGAATACAAAAGAAATACTGACAGATGCACAGGCAGAAGTTTGTCTGGCGCCATAGCCAGAAGTTGGCCCCAACTTTGAACGCATAACAAACAAGTTTGGATCGAGTGCAGTGCAGTGTGTATGAAGAGCAACAGTTCTGGCTTTTAAATCATTTATATAAACGCCACAGACAGTCCGAATAAATACAGGGGAAAAAAACGACAGATTGCTGTCCGAATGTTGTGCAGAAAATGAAGAATTTATAGAGATAATGTTATTTGATGGTTTCCACTCTACTCTACTACTCCAGATGCTGTCTTTCAAATTGTTTTTATCGTCTGTTCAATGTCATTCCGATGGCCGGGTTAATTATAGAAATACCTGAAGCACAGCCAAACTGAAAGTTAAGCAACTGTTAAATAGATTCAGGAACTTCGATGATGGCTGCTCCTGAGCATTGCCAAGGCAACTGGAACTTCTTGGCGGCTCCAAGGAGGGCGCTGCGATTTCTTTGACAGCAGTCGAACGAAGTAGCTGTCGGAGTTGTTGTTCTGTCATGGAAATTACAGATTGTACAGCAGAGAGAGAGAGAGAGAGAGGCTGCTTCCCTTTGCATTTTTCGCTGCTGTCCTGTCCCCAGTCCTACAGGGCCATAATTATTGTTGTACTCGACAGGAAAGGGGCCCTGCTTTGCAGTGAAACATAAATTAATTGTACAACTTTGCACATAAATAAAGCCGCAAATAATGTGGCACGATAAAGGCAGAAAAAAGGTCATCAGAAAGGCAACTCAAAACTCAACTTTCCCCAAAGTTTCCCTTTGCCTTTTGCCTATTGCCTTTTGCCCAACATTATTTATGATTTTCGGGACAAAAGACAAAGTGCCAAACAAAATATTGTCTTAAAACTTGTTACCCGAAACTCAAAGGTAGGTTCAATTTGCATTTCAAACACATCATGCACTTTGCCTGCAGTTTTGGGTGTCTTTAATGTAACTTAAATTTGTGGAAGGCCATCCTCATTGTTCTCGGTCTTGGACTTGGCTTCGTAGACAGCGAACTTCAGGCGACGTCGCCGCCGTTTTTCCACGGATTCGTTGATGAATTTACTGTACTCGGGCAAGTCGTTGGACTTAATCAGCTTCTTGATGATCTTTCGGATGCGTGGCTCATCCCGGACCGTCATCAGGGGCAGTTCGATAAACAAGCGATCCATACAGCCCTTGCCCAGCGTGTAGGCAGCCTTGATGTCCGCCAGCTCCAGCTGCGAGCCCTTGTAGTGTTTCTGGAAGAGCTCGCAGACACCCGACCGGTCCTGGCGGTTTCCCAACAGGCACGCGCACAGGTCCAGCACCGTGGCGAAGGCCAGGTCCAGCTCACAGCTGGCACTCTCCGGGGGGAACTCGGACGGGGAATCGTACAGAGCCCGCTGCTTGTCGTTGGTCAGGATGCTCATAATTCTGAAGACGAGATGGCACTTCTGCAGGGCCTTCCTGCGCTGCTTGGCAGGCCTCTGGCCCGGGTGCTCCGCCATGATCAGCTGATAGGCAGCGCTGCGTATGGCCCTCGGCATAGCTCCGCGTGAGACGTCCAGCACCTTGTAAAAGTCGCGGGTGCCGAACATGAGCCACGAATCGCCGCACACAGACATGGCCTAGGAACAGCTGACTTCCCAAAAAAAATTTAAATCTAAATTGTGATCGTAAAACAATAAATTTAAAAAATCGAAATATCCGTTCTAGAGAGACATTTCCCATCAGTCATCAGTCAACAGTCAACACTTAAGTCAAAGCCAAGCTCAGCTCACGATAACTTCCGCCTTGCAAACTCCGGCCCCAAGTTCAGCCGGGAGGCGGCCACGTAAAGTTAAATTAATACTCGGCCTGGGGTTACACCAGCACTCTCTAAGCCTCAGCTTCCTGCCTGAGATTGTCGTTTTCAATTACACTTAAACTTTAAGCGTTTTGCGTTTTTTGATTCTCTTCCCAGCCTCCCAGCCTCCCTGCCCCCAGCCCCCCTCCCCACACTCGTTGGGTATCTCTCATCAACTTCGCCCCAGTGGTTCATAATTTTATTAAGAAACCTTTGGAGTTACGTCGTACCAGCCCCTGGTGAGATTTTTGCCAGCGGTTGCACAGCGGTTGAAATCTGTAGTCGGTCTTCTGTTTCGGTCTCCTTTTCGGTTCCACGCGCATAAAAAATGCAAGATAAATGTTGGCAAATGTAATTTTTAGGAGCTCTAATGTGCGACATCAATTTACCTCGAGTTCCTCAAACTCCCCCCATGATAGAGCCAGGACTTGGGCCCCTTTTTAGTTCGCATTTCAGATACGCGCTGGACTTTAATATTTTAATATTTATTGCCCCCCCGCTTATATCAACGGAAAGACCATTTCAAAATAGTTTTGATTTGGGGCCTGCCTTTCAATAATTATCATTATCATGCTGGACTATGATTTCCTGTCAGAGAAAATCTACGAAAAACACCACCATTAATCAATAATCAGCTAATATTATACATTTGGCATTCCAGGGGTTCCACTTTTCGCCATTATCGGATGATCTGCGAGGCGGGAGCTCACCGCGATCACGCTCTGAGTAGCATGCAGCCGGAGTGGACCACAAATCAAGCCCATGAGGCGATATCAGGGAAATGCAGTGTCCCGATGACTACTTCAGATTCCGCAATCGCCCCCGAATTAGTCTGATTAGTAATTCAAATAATTAGCCACTTAACTAATCATCAGCGCCAGTTCGCAAGCACCGGCCCAGTCCCCTGCCAAAACACCCGCAATCAGCCACAACGTCTGGCCCGGCTTTCACTGTGATGCCCCACACCCAGAGAGAAAGAAGTGAGTGAAGCCTGCCGATAAGATCGAATCGCAAATCACTCCCCGCGAAGTCAACGCGAAGTCAACGGCGACCCCTATAAAAGCAGCCCCAGAAATCTCAATGCAATCAGAGTGAAACATAGGTTCCATCTAGCATCAACATGTTCCTGACAAAGACCCTCGGGTGCATCGCCTTCCTGGCGATCGCCAGCGCCCAGTTCAACACCAACTACGTTGGTGGCCGCAGCGGCATGGTCCACCTCTTCGAGTGGAAGTGGGACGACATCGCCGCCGAGTGCGAGAACTTCCTGGGCCCCCAGGGCTACGCCGGTCTTCAGGTAAGATCCGTCCGGAGAGCTTCCCTCCTCGCCCAATCCTCATCTCCCCCTCATCTCTGCCTCCTTCCCAGGTGTCGCCCGTCAACGAGAACGCCGTGAAGAGTGGGCGTCCGTGGTGGGAGCGCTACCAGCCCATCTCCTACAAGCTGACCACCCGTTCCGGCAACGAGGAGCAGTTCGCCAGCATGGTCAGGCGCTGCAACAACGCCGGAGTGCGCACCTACGTGGACGTCATCTTCAACCACATGGCAGCCGATGGCGGCACCTACGGCACAGCCGGCAGCACCGCCAGCCCCAGCTCCAAGAGCTACCCCGCAGTGCCCTACTCCTCCCTGGACTTCAACCCCACCTGCGCCATCACCAACTACAACGACGCCAACCAGGTGCGCAACTGCGAGCTGGTCGGCCTGCGTGACCTCAACCAGGGCAACTCGTACGTCCAGGAGAAGGTTTCCGATTTCCTGAACCACTTGATCGATCTGGGTGTGGCCGGATTCCGCGTGGACGCTGCCAAGCACATGTGGCCCGCAGATCTGGGCGTCATCTATGGCCGCCTCAAGAACCTGAACACCGATCACGGCTTCGCGTCCGGATCCAGGCCCTACATCGTCCAGGAGGTCATCGACATGGGTGGCGAGGCCATCAGCAAAACCGAGTACACTGGCCTGGGCGCCATCACCGAGTTCCGCCACTCCGACTCCATCGGCAAGATCTTCCGCGGCAAGGACAAGCTGACCTACATGTCCAACTGGGGCACCGGCTGGGGCTTCGCTGCCTCCGATCGCTCGCTCGTCTTCGTCGACAACCACGACAACCAGCGCGGACACGGTGCAGGTGGTGCTGATGTGCTCACCTACAAGGTGCCCAAGCAGTACAAGATGGCCTCCGCCTTCATGCTGGCCCATCCCTTCGGCACTCCCCGTGTGATGTCCTCCTTCTCCTTCACCGACACCGACCAGGGCCCACCCACCACCGACGGACAGAACATTGCCTCTCCCACCTTCAACAGCGACAAGTCCTGCGGCGGCGGATGGGTGTGCGAGCACCGCTGGCGCCAGATCTACAACATGGTGGCCTTCAGGAACGCCGCCGGCGATGCCGATCTCCAGAACTGGTGGTCCAACGGAAGCAACCAGATCTCCTTCAGCCGTGGAAACAGGGCCTTCGTGGCCTTCAACAACGACAACTACGACCTCAACAGCTCCCTGCAGACCGGCCTGCCCGCCGGCACCTACTGCGACGTCATCTCCGGCGAGAAGAGCGGCTCCTCCTGCACCGGCAAGACCGTCACCGTTGGCTCCGATGGACGCGCCAGCATCTCCATTAGCAGCTCCGCTGACGATGGTGTCCTGGCCATTCACGTCAACGCCATGTTGTAAGGGACTCAGCATGTGAGAGACTCCCCAACAACCAATCGAGATTATTATTATTAAATACACAATGAGAGCATAGCAAAACGCACTCTTTAGCAAAAAGGTTAGGGGTTGCTTCGTCAAGTAGGGCTTAAGCACTTTTCACGATATCCTGCCGGAGTTGTTGTTGTTAATGGAACTCCCGTGAATATGCCGCCGGCTGACACCTGTGTTTGGCTTCACTCTCCCCCGCAGAACCTGGTGAGATTTTTGCCACGTGCTCCAAGTATTTATACCTGCTGCTCAAAGTAAGCTCTTGCAGGGGGTATACTGTATCCGGAGTGGTGTATGTAACAGGAGGAGCACAGTCTCATCCAGGCGAAATAGCGATCATAGATCGTTCAAATGTGCTTGCCCTCGGTTGCGATTGTTTGGAAGTACAGTCAAGAGGGTATACTCGACTATAATGCCCCTACTGGTCCCTCTGACTGTGTGCTGAGGGCCGTGGGCCGAGGCGGAGGTACTTAGGTCGACCTTCCATCTGTTACATGTAGATGGGAGGACTATCTGCCCTGTCCGTGGGTCTGTGAGCCTTGTTCTCACATCATTTGAAACGTGGCCGGCATTCAAATGGGCCGCATTACTTCTCGTCTTGGCCAGCTTAATGCGAAAAGTTGAGCATTTCTTTGGCAGGCTTTGGTTCATCTTCTGGTTAATTTAGTTCGCAGGCCAGAACTCTTTATCAAGACACATGCATACGTGTTAGTGGAGTCTTCTTTTTTCGCATAACGTTTCGGTGGCTGTTCGTAATTGGTTTTTAATTCGCATGGAACTCGGTTAAGCCGCGTAATCCACCACTTAGATGCGGTGGCAGCTGGCTTATACCGGAGTTATTTGACTCAAATCAATCACCCGCTCAGGCTCCGAATCCGGGTGGGGTTCCGTGGCAAATCTCGGACTTCGGACGCCACCACCAATTGGGCTTTAATGGCGGCCGGTCTTTATGTGAATGCTCAGCATTAAATATTCGGTTTTAATCGACAGACTGAATGAAATGCGTACATTGATTGATTGATTCGCTGGTTGTTGTGTTATTCTCCTCCGGTAAATATATCAATGCAGGAATGCCGGATTGCCGGAATGCTGGCAATGTGAATGAATTTTTACAATTTGCATGCAAATATATGCTTTTCCGTGATACGGACATGTATTGTTTGTTCGTGCCTTTCGTCCTTTTGGCCAGCCGAGCACCCAAGGCGGTGCTCTGCACGATACGGCCAGTTCTCTCTGCGAAAATATTGACAATTCTTCAGTAGCACAGCAAAAAGAGCGCAACTAGCGAAATAATAAAGCGAAATATCGGATGCACAGCACAATGCAATAAATGGTAGCTGTATGCCAAGAATTCACAATATGAGTCCAGTCCCCCCCCCCCCCCCCCCCCTTCGTCGGAAGACGACGAAGTATGTCAAGGAAGGCACAGCCAGGGAAGGCTGTGATTTATGCAGACTGCCACTGACATTGCAAGAAATCTCTTTCTTTGGCTGGAATATTAGATTTCCCTTTTTAAAGTCAGTGGCAAAGGTGCAAAAAACACTGCGACTGCGATTATACGCTTTTAAAACGGCCGTACTAAATACGTAAGCCAGCTCTTAGCATTCCCAACAAAAAGTAAAGGGCTCGCACACAGAACTGGCCACAAACTGGCCTCAAGTGACGACTATTGAGCCAGGACTCAATCGCAATGTGAATGAATGGCAGGAGCTTTGCTTCAAAGAGGAAGGCTCGAAAAACTAATGCGAAGATAGAGAGAGAGAGAGAGAGAACTAGAAGCACGAGGACAGAGAGTAAAGGAACAAATCAGATGAAAGCAAGGTCTTTTTGCTCCAAATTTGCATAGCACTTAAAAATGGAAGGTCGACAAAAAAGAAAATGGAGGTGAAAGCATCGGCCAGACAGAAGTGGTAATTCGGCATGAGGCTCGACGTGTTCGGACGCTGGTAATTGACATTGTTGGTGGAAATGGCACTGGCACTGGCACCGGCACAAGAGACGGATGTGTGGCACTAGCATTGGAGCATAGGATGCCATCGAAAGCTGTTTATCGACTGCCTGTCAAGGAGAAACACGTCGTCCCCTCCAGTCTGATGTCCAGGTGACTGTTGGGCGTCCTATCTTTCAGCAGCAGAAAAAGCCAGCTAGTTGACAATG